TGACCTTCAGCATCCGCGTCTTTTGCTTGTGAAGTTCCGGAGGCGCCTGGGCCGTGTCATGCAAGGCAATCCTGCCCTCACCCCTCCGCTTCCTGAGCACTGCCCAAGGATCATCCTTCCCACCACGCTTCTTCTTCTTCCCGCCCGATGGTTCATCCAGGATGTAGGAGGATGTGGTGTTTAAATTCACACCATCATTTTCCAGTTCTTTCTCGGCCTCCAGCTCAAGCTCGTCCTCTCGCTGCTCGTGAATCTTGCGTTCCTCTGCTCTCCATTGGTCGTAGAGCTTGTGCATCTTCTTTTCCTTGCGCGTTCTGTAGACTTTCATTCCCTGTTCGTCCCTGCCATCCTTCACAATCGCCTTCTTGGTAAGGCCGGCAACGGGCAACGCCGCATCGACGCGAGAGGCAAAGGTTCGCATGTCCTCGCCGGGCCGTATTCGTAAGGGCTCGGCTTCTGGCTCTTGTGTGACTGGCTCTTTTTTATCTCCATTATCAAGACCCGATCGGAATTTCTTGCCCTGTGCCACCGCCATGAGCCGTCTGAAGGCACGCGGCGCATCGTCCTGGTTCTTGTTCCGCTTCTTGTTCTTTCTTTTGGGCTCTTGCGTCGACGAAGTTGGGCCTTTCACTGGAAGTGGTCGAGCTTTCTGGGAAGGTGGGAGTTCATAACTAATTCAAAGTTAGAATAGAATGCGCACACAAGAAGGGTGAAAACACTGACTCTCCATCATCACCTCTCTTTCGCTTATGCTTGTGTGGCATGTTGGTGCTGGATGTAAGTCCGTGGGGGCGCAGAAATTCCAGATGAGTATATGTCGGATTGTTCAATTTCCCGCGTGTGTCGGTCAAGACAAACAATGTCGAAGTCGTCGATGTCGAAATTCTTCAAACTGTTGATCATGAAGAGTATCAGCGGTAACTTTTTTTAAAGTGGGGTTCGATACCACGGGAAATAAGTGGAGAGACTAATAATTGCCCCACACTCACTCAAGCTCCTTCGAGCTCCCGACAACATACTTTAGCTCTTCCCCGAGGCTGCCGTTGTGTTAAATAGTTAACTTTCACTCATCAATTGAAGTCTTTCTGGTATACTAGAATGCATTTGTAAGTATTCCATACAGCCTGAACCCATATAATTAACATCCGGGACCATATTAACGACCTATGAATGACCAGATACTAACATGCAACGCACCAAGGCTCGCTTTGGGGCAATCTCCTGAGAAGCGCTGCCCATTTCACCATGAATAGAGATGAAGGCATAGTCATTTGCAAACATCCTAATTCTGGATCTCGGAATTCATATCTCGGACTTTTTGTAGCATTACGACTATTAACATCAGCAATTTTGTAAGTTAGTCATGGCACAAACCTTCTTTAAATAGTGACTAACACCTCGCGAAGATGTATCATCTTTCTCGTAGCTCTCATCATCAATTCTTCTCCTTTACTATGTCCTTTACTATGCGGCAGGGACATTATACACAACTCTCCACCTTCTTCCTCGGCTGCCATCCTACCAGTCTCGTGTCATTCCCATAATGACTACTGGAGAGAAAGACCGCTATTTTCAGCCTTGGAGGCAGGCTGCGTGGGTGTTGAAGCTGATGTCTGGGCCTACAAAGATGAGCTATTTGTTACCCATGGCCTTGACACCATGGTGCCAAATCGCACCCTGAAGTCTATGTATCTCAAACCGCTCCTCCAGCAGTTGGAGGGCACAGGAACGTCTATGTCTACTCTACCAACTACGACACCTCGGGGGCTATATAAGTCCCGCCCGACACAGACAATGGTGCTTCTAGTGGATTTCAAGTCACATCCAGAAAAGACTTGGTCGCTCTTGATGCGGGAATTAGAGCCTCTTCGCCGCTCTATGCTTCTAACATCATACGTCAGGAATCAGAAGATCATAAGACCCATCACCGTTGTCGTGACTGGGGATCTCCCGGCACATTTGCTTAATCAAGACGAGTCCGCTGAATCCCGCGATGTGTTCCTTGATGCCCCTCTTTCAAATGTACAAAGCGGTCTTTACGATGCCGCCAATTCCCATTGGGCCAGCATGTCTCTTACAAAACTAGTCGGAAGAGTCTCGTCTTCAGGCCTAAACTCATTACAGTTGGACAAGATTCGAAGCCAAGTTCGATCAGCCCATGATCACGGACTTCAAGTGCGTTTTTGGAACTTGCCGACCTGGCCCATTGGGTTGAGAAACAAAATATGGGCCTCATTGCGGGAAGCAGGTGTTGATATTCTCAATACCGATGACCCCAAAAACGCAGCAAATGCTCTCAGAGAAGACGTTGCCTCATAATCGCAAACACTCAATACAAGGATGCTCAATTGAAGTTGTTTTTCCCTGATGGGGCAAAAACATCTCACCTGAGATTCCGATGGGGTATGTAGCTCATTGCGAGTATCCGTATTATCGCCGAATACGACCAAGATATACCCGCACTTTGAGCAACTTCGAGAGAACGTCACTCGAGTGTAATACACAACCCCGCAAAAGATAGATAGCTATTTACCTTAGTAATTGCTATGATAGTGCGTCCGATTATAGGCTATATAAATTGTGTCTCCCCTCTAGTCTCTGGAATATTGATCGAGGACAATCGTTGAGTTTACCCACCTTTCAAGAGGAAAACAGTATTATAACCTCATTAGCCCAAATAAACCGCCACATAGTAAACTCCCTTGCAGCAGACACCATGTCCAACGAAGGCCGAATCGCTACCTTGGATGTACGTGCACCCGTCTAATGGGAATGGCCTCTCCGGGAGTCTGGACTAACATGACCCAGGCCTCCATCGCCCCTCGGCTACCTCCATATTCAACCACACTCTTCAATGCAAAGGCGGCGAAGGGTGTAAGCTTCGAGGAGATTGCCAAGCATCTTGAGCGGAGCGAGGTCGCATGTGCAGCATTGTTCTATGGTCAGGCGACAGCCACCCCAGAGGATATAGACCGTCTCTCCCAGTTTCTCGGCATCCCCAAGAATGCTCTAGAAGCCGAGATGATGGGCTTCCCTGACCGGGGCCGCGCAGCACCAATGCCCCCCGTGGAGCCCTTGATCTACAGACTCTACGAGATTGTTCAAAATTACGGGTATGCATACAAGGCAATCCTAAATGAAAAGTTCGGGGACGGGATCATGAGTGCCATCTGCTTCTCGACCAAAGTGGACAAGGAGATCGATGAATCAGGTGCTCCCTGGGTTGTCATCACATTGAAAGGCAAATGGTAAGAATTCAATCTCCCCTTTAGGTTCAGATTCATGTTAACAAGGGCAGGCTTCCATTCTCTCGATTTTAGTCTGGGTCGGCCGGCGCATCGTGTCCGAGTTGGTGTATGTATCAGGGGTGGCAACGAAAAGCATTATCCCGAAGTTCATTCAAATTCTCCGGAAATCAACTTCAATTCTCCTAATCTAACAAAGCTAAAATGTTTAGATGATTGAGATGTTGCATGTGATCCGCTTGGCAGAGCTCCGTCCTATGATTAATCCTGCCCACCTCATCGCGGTGGCGCCGAGAACAATATTAAGCCCAACAATACTAAGCGGCAGCCCACCTCGCGATCATATTGTTAGGGGCACCAACCAAGCTTCCATCTAGCCTATTTAGAAGACAACGGGACTTTTCTTTATGGATTAATCTTTTTTTAATGCAGGGGTTGAAGGAGGGGTGGCGCCCGAACACGATCCATTGCCAACATCATATTCATGTTGGTGAGAGAACTCTGAGAACAATACTAAGAGTCGTGCCTAGATACCCTATTTTATACTAGCCAGTTGAAGGATGAATGAAAGAGGCTTCTCAAAGACTTCATTCTAGATCTCGAGCAAGCTTGTGTCCGAACAACTTCGATTTGTCCTCTCCAAGTATAAATATCCCATAAACTTCTCGCCAAATCTCTTCTCTCCTCCCCATCATCATCACTCAAGCAAATCAAACAAGATTCCAAAACCAAACAACACTACCATCTTTCAAGACTTCCACCGTCACCAAACAAATCACTCAAAATGGCCCGCAACACACCTCTTACCTGCATCATCCAGAAGAACACTCCTCTGACCTGCATCATCCAAAAGAATACCCCTCTTACCTGCATTATCCAGAAGAACACACCTCTCACCTGCATAATTCAGAAGAACACGCCGCTCACCTGCACCACAATGTAAAGAGCTTGCTCTTTCTCTCTCAATCTCCGGATTTGCTGGGCAATCCATCGACTAAAGCCAGCACGCATCACGAGGGTTCACAACCTCACATCGGCTTTCTCATGAAAAAGAACTCGACATTGACGGCATGAATTTCAACTAGAATCGACAATTCTTCCCAACGGCTTCAAAGTTTCAACTTATATTTTACGGCTCTTGGCCCGACGGACGCGGCACACTCAAGAGTTTCTTTACCCTCTTTATGGATCTTTCAGGCGAGGTCTTCTAAAAATATACTCATCTTGGAGGAGGATCTGACGGCCTGGAAGTACATTCTAATTTTAGCTTCTTTTATCAATTGAACCATTGGAACCTACATTTTCCCCAATACTTGTAGTAGTTTGTCCGGTGCATATATGATGGTACACTTAAGTACCAACCCTTACTCGCTCCCAGGAAGGGAAAAGTATCATGAAAAATGGCATGCCATGCTATACATACACACCCCAAAGTAAAGAAACCTTCAAAAAGCCACGAGCACCCCCTTCTTAAAATATAATCGTGTGTATGATTTATGTTCAGTTTTTGTGAGTGCTACAGGGTAGGCTCATACACATGTCCATGCCACCGCCTGTCCCACCTTAAAGCCATGGTGGGGCACAAGTTTAAGGCGGTGAGTTTTTGGTTCGGCAGAATTGGAGATTTTTTGTTGCCCGTCGCATGCAACTTTTCCCAATTGACCTGAACCCCAGTGTATGCGCTCGCCGCAATAAAACTTATATTTTCCCCGCCAATATTTATTCCAGCAGGGAAATAATTCACCAACGCCCAGTATGGTTTCGAAAGGAAGACTCAAGATGGCCTTGGCCGCCGAAAAGGGCACCGATTTCAAGAAACTGAATCAGAAGAAAAAGGCCAAGGAGGCTGCAAAGAAGAAGGCTGCCAAGGTAGAAGAGAAGCCTGTCGAGAGTGATGAAGAGGAGGAGGAGGAAGAGGAGGAGGAAGAGGATGTTGAAGCTGAAGAAGACGAGGAAATGGGCAACGGGGTACGTGTGCACACGCCACTTCCAAATGATATTCGGGATCTAATCAGCGGCACAGGTAAATTTGGACGCCATCGACGACAGTGATACATCCGAGTCCTCAATTGAGATGGAGAAGCGGTTACCTAGAAAGCCTAAGAAAGACCAAAAGCCTCAGGCGGCCGAGGCGAAGCCCAATGCCGACGATGACGAAGATGATGAGGAAGAAGAGGAAGAGGACGAGGAGGACATCCCCATGTCCGACCTCGAGGACCTCTCCGATGCCGAGAAGGAAGACCTCATCCCCCACAGCCGCCTCACAATCAACAACACATCCGCCCTCCTCACCTCCCTCAAGCGGATAGCCATCCCCTCCGACAAATCCGTCCCCTTCGCCACCCACCAGACTGTCACATCTTCTACCCTAGCTTCAGAAGCCATCCCAGACGTCTCCGACGACCTCCAGCGCGAGCTGGGATTCTACACCCAGAGCCTCGAGGCTGTGCGACAGGCCCGCTCCAAGCTCCGCGCGGAGAAGGTCCCCTTCTCGCGCCCCAAGGATTACTTCGCCGAGATGCTCAAGGAGGACGCCCACATGGAGAAGATCAAGGCCAAGCTGGTCGAGGAGGCCTCGAACAAGAAGGCCGCCGCCGAGGCCCGCAAGCAGCGCGACCTCAAGAAGTTCGGCAAGCAGGTCCAGGTCGCCAAGCTCCAGGAGCGCCAGAAGGCGAAGCGTGAGACTCTAGAAAAGATCAAGACTCTCAAGAGAAGTAAGTGCCCTCCATTTGACCTAATCATTAGATGAAATCAAATCAGAATATACCCCATGCTTTGATATTCAATGAACATAGAATACTAACAAAATCCCTACCCAGAACGTCAAGAAACAGGCGGCGCCGGCCTCGGCACCAACGAAGCCGACCTATTCGACGTCGGCGTCGACAACGAGCTTGCCAAGTACGACTCGCGGTCGGGCTCCGGCCGCGGCAACATGGGCGGGCGCGGCGGGGGCAACCAGAAGCGCCAGAAGAAGGACGAGAAGTACGGCTTCGGCGGCAAGAAGCGCCACGCCAAGTCCGGCGACGCCGTCAGCTCGTCCGACCTGAGCGGCTTCAACCCCAAGGCGATGAAGGCCAAGGGCAAGGTGGGCAAGTCGAGACCCGGGAAGGGCAGGCGCAAGGCCATGGCAAGTCGGTAAACAGCCATGATTGCTTGTTGGAAGCGCGCCGTGTTTCGGAAAAGGTGGTTTACGGAAATTGGTAGAAAATATTAGATATATGCATTAGGATTTGAGTTTCTTTAATTGTGAGGCAGGAGTCAGGTCTCTTTTCAAGTTCAGCTTCCCCCTCTGATTCTGAGAATTGCAGCCATTGAGCGCTGTTTGACTCTAATGTATGAATGATCAAGTTTTCTGTCTCCAGTAACAAGCCTGGAAACCTCAACTACTCAAGAAATCCGTGTGATGCATTCTTCTATAAGCCAAGTGGATGTGCAGAAAAATTCTAAATAACGCTTGTTTGTGTTGTTATGAACTTGTGAACTGAGCTGTGGGTTATCAGACTTCATAAAAACCCTTCCGCCTCCTCTTCCTGTCCGCCTAGTCGAGACATTGCTCCATTTGTCCCAGTTTCATGCCGGGTGAGAGCTGTATATCCCATGGGGACCGCTTATAGAACCCATCATCTCCTCCTCCCAACATATATATACTAATTACAGCAACAGAGGAAATTCAACTTCCTTGTGTTGCAGGAATGAGCCCTCGCACCTCATCATGCCAGTGCAAATGCATAGCCCGGTGATAAAAAATACTAATACTGTTCCTTCGCAAAAAGAGCGATGCCCAAATCATCTGCATTAAACCGACCTGTGCGCCGTAGTCCTGTGGTATCGAAGATAAATGCGGTGTGTGTACTAAAAACGCTTTGCAGTGCAAATGCATGTCGCATCAATGCGGCGAATGGTATCAAAACAAGCAGCTTTCGTTCGTCAAGGCTCGCGGTGTCACTCGACACCAAGCCTTCATGAGACCCAAAAAATCAAATTATTGAGAGGCAGCCACGCACCAGTGCCTGTGGAAGGCCCAGGCGCTCTTCTGACATTCTTTGCTGCAGTACTTGGTGCGGCGACATCGCCGGCACTTGGCAAACTGACGCGTGTACTCCTCCCACTTGCCACACTGGTAGTATGCGCATTGCCGAATACCACCGCGGGTATCGTCCTTGCGGCATAGATTTCTCATAACAACACCAGCCCAGTACTGCATATCAGTGCTGTGATATCGGACTGTGAATTTTTCAACCAGGGGGAAGAGATTGAAATCGTTTGCAAGGAGATACTCCTCATCCTCTTCATCATCTTCTTCGGTCTCGGCCGCTTCCTCGCCGGTGACGCCACCGGCGAGCTCTTTATCAATCTTAAGCTTAGGAACCAGGTGGCTTTTTTGGAAATAAGAACGCAGACCACAGTACTTGGACACATAAGCGAGAAGCTGCAGCGACATCAGGACATCCTCCTCACGAGGCATGACAGCGAGCAGCTCTGCACTGGGGATGATATGACGATCGAGAAGGTATCGGGGGACCGTCGAGTTGGGCAGAGGCGGTTGTGGTGGTGTGACCATTGTTGGGCGGTTGGGGGAGAGTCCCAACTGAGGTGCAGGGGTGGGTGTAGCATTGCCATCGATTGGGCTTCGGTGAGTGATATTAAACGTCTCAGCATCCTGATGAGTTTCCGACACCGTAGGGGTAGCCAAATCCATGGAGGTGCCAGCAAGCATGCTGTCACCGTCCTCCATGATGATATCCTGGATACCGACAGCAGATTGGATACCAGTGTTTCCGTTCATGTCGGTGTCGGGTGACTCATCAGACGGCAGACCGTCTGTATTGATATCATCCGAGTCCGCTGTAGAGTTCTGGTGTCGGATGGAGGGCCTTCTCCTTGTGTGTGTGGGAGGTGCCACTGAGGTAGGGCGGACTGTAGGAGAGCGAATTTGAGGTGGAGGAAGAGGAGTGGTAGGGGATGTGGGCAATGAGGTCAGATCGGTACCAAAGGGTGCCATAGAGACAAGACGTTCAACTTCCCGAACAGGGCGGATGATGGAGTCGATGTTGTCCATTTGGGCAGCAGCACCGCCCAGTGGCAGCATGCGTTGGCCGGAACCAGAGGGCGAGCCATTTCTAGACTCAGACGCCCTGAAGCCATGGCGACGCGAGCTGTGAAGGAAACTCAGGGTCTCCTGTGAAGAAATACCGCTCTGCGGTGTGGGAAGAGTATTCTCAGTATTCTGTCGAGCAACAGCGGTAGATGGACCAGCCAAGCTGGATGCGACGTCGATGGGTTGTGGAGTCTGACGACGATTCGGTCGCTCCTCGTGCTCTGAAGGAGTAGAGGGAAAGGTAAGCGAGGACGAAGCCCTCGAGTGCCCGCGGTGTCGGTGGTGGTGATGATCGTGGGCATGCTTCTGCTTAGCTTCCTCGACCTTTTCGCGGGATTTGTCCATGACTTTTATGTAATTATCCAGAATGGTGGCGATGACTGGGACCATGTCTGCCTCAACGACTCTGGTGCGAACATTTTCAGTGCCACGAACACCAATGTTCACGACGCACTGGAAAGCAAGATTCCACTTCCACATGCCCATCATATCCTTGCTCCTCCCCTGTTTGAGAATACAAACAAGTCTTTCGATGCCTCCATCGACAGTGAGAATGTCACGGATGCGAGCAGAGGATGTGGTTAGGTAGGCAAGGTGGTTGAGCGAGTTAATCAGTGGCAAGGTTGACGTGCAGTCAAGCGCCCGCCGGTCATAAAGGGCCGTGGTGATTCCCACGGACGCCTTATTGACGTTGGGGATACTGAAGTTGACCTCCCTCATTGTGGTGTGATGGGACTCGTAGCGAGCGTCAAAACTAGATGCAAGAACGGGGCTTCGAAGGCCCCTTGAGGGGGATTGAGAGAGGTAGCTAGACCGCTGCAGACGTCAGTGAGCAAAAAGACTCGTAGCGATGATCGAGACGCTAATGGCGGAATGATTTTGTTCGATGACTATAGAATTCGATTCGGGGTTGAGGTTCGGCGCCCTTTTTGCTGGCGTGAAGGCGTGCGAGATGACAAGCGAAGGGGGGAGGCGAATTATGAGCGCGACCCGCGGTACAGGGATGCGACAGGACCAAGCGACGGAAATAGGGAGTCGGAATCCGGTCGATTAAACAAAACTCGTCGTCGAGGCAGGAGTTGGTGGACGAGAATCGTATCGATAGTTTGATGGATGGATGGACAGGTGAGATAGAGGAGAAGGCGGTATGTAGTAGATGAGAGGAGGAGAAACAAATCGAGTTGGCTGGGCTGGGTGCGGTCAGGTCAGGCCGGGTCGGTGGGTGTGTGGTGTGTGGGTGATGTTTCAGGAGGTCTTTTGGTTGGTGCTTTTGTGGGTGCAGCGAGCCTCTGGGCGCTGGATGGGCGAATGGACGGAGAGGCCGCCTCAGTAGGCAGGTACCTAATTTACAGGGCAAGCCAATTGCCGCCGGCTCATTATACCTCTCTCAGGCTTCCTACCAGCCACTTGTTGGGCCCTACAGGCACCTCCATTCGCAATTACGGGCAGCAGCCACGCCCAGGCAACCCAGCAATCAGGTACCTGCTAGCCAGTGTCCCCAGGACATCCAGAGGCCATCACGCGCATCGCTGCTATAGATAGAACAAGGCAAGCACACGACTACATCTCAGGTCGAACACTGCTCGCTCTCCACTGCGTTGCTTGCTCAGCACCTGTTTTTCCATGGCATTCGATCCAGCAGCACCGAGTATTATTCACGTTTGGCCAGAACAGTCAGATGCAGAACCAAAACGGAATGCTGACTTGACAGAACACTGCCTGGTTGATCAAAACGGCAGATTGCCCGTTCCAGGCCGTCAGATTGCCTCCACTGCGCTGGGCCAGACCTCTGGAGAATGACGACAGTGGTTCTACCTGCTGGCCTTCAGCGTCCAGTCTCGGCCTGTACGTGGGTACCATCAGCCGCAGATGAATTTGAGCCTTCAATACAGCAATTGATGCATTCGACCCCTATTGCAATGCCTCGCCGGCTAAATGCTATTGTCGTTTTACGCTCCAAAAACACCTGCGAAAATTTTTCCACCGGACTCAGTCTCGCCCGATTCTGTCCCCTGATCGCATTGTACCGTCCTACGCATTCATTCACACAATCATCAGACTCCGATTTGAGTTGCCGTTCGGAGGTGGCTGCAGCCAGCCACACCTAGCAGATGGATGCCCAATGAGGTCCAAGGCCACAGCGCTACAGCATACCGTTAGCCCAAAAGGGTGCATGGGAACCCCGTAGCCATGTTGCCATGACCCAAATTTACTTCCCTGCCACCACTGTTGTGGCAAGGTCTCGGTTCACTGATCCGCATCCACCAGCAAGCCAGCCCCTAAAAAAAACCATCAGATCGCTAGGCAAATTGCTAGGACGGGCGATGGCAAGTTCGTCGCCAATCTTCGGTACTCAGCTTCTTCGCCTCGTTGTGTAGGCGAGCCACGCGGGCACGGCTTATGGGCTCGGGAACTATGCATTGATGTGACCTGGCTTGCCTGGCTAGCCTTTGGACGTAGAACACCTCAGGCTAGTAACGTGGTATTACGGGGATTCGTATGCTGATTACCTACATCCTACAGCAATCCCCTCGTGACATATAGGAGACTATTCACTGGTCGCTCCATATACTCACCAACCTCTACCAGCTGCATCAAATCGCTTCCCTTGACGTCTTCAACAGCCGTTCAAGAATACCGATTGGCTAGGCCGTACCCCTACAGCCTTAGATCCAACCAGCCGGAGTCTGATCTTATTTTGCTTTCGTGTTCGGAGGCATGAAGTAGTTTCATAAGCAGAGGGATCCAGCCGACGTCGAACGCTTACTCGAACCCCTGTCATTGCGGGAAACTCGCCACCCACTCGCCTTGCCAAGCCGCCTCAAAGCGCTCAGCTACGATTGCCAAGACATGGTATTGAGCAGTATGAGGTTGTGTGTTGTTCCTCTCCGCGCAAGGAACTGCGAAGTGAAATATCGACCCTTTGGGACGCCATGGCCCATGAATCTGGAAAGAACATCTCCAAGTTCCCCTTGCAAACCCTGAAAGAGAGCATGCAAACAGAGAGATGGAAGTGGGGACTTTTGAGATGTGGGTATATA